TTGACGAAGAAGGAAATGAGATATTTTCTGGAAAAATTGGAATATTTCCATTTGTTACTTGGCAGCCGGCTAAGAGACGGAGTAAAAATGGAGATGCTGGAACTTTAGAGCTAAAAGCATCAACATCTATCAAGAGAGAAGATATAAAAGCTTGTTTGATTGAAAAGGTTATTCCAGCTATTCATAAAAAATGGCCAAGGAAAGATCGAGGAAGGACTATATTTATTCAACAAGATAATGCAAGAACACATGTTGAGTGTGGGGATAAAGATTTCCAAGAAGCTGCGTCAAAAAACGGTTTTGATATTCAATTGATGTGTCAACTGCCAAACTCGCCGGATTTAAATATTTTAGATCTTAGGTTTTTTAGTGCCATCCAGTCTTTACAGTATAAGGAAAGCCCAAAAACCATAGAAGATCTTGTTTGTGCGGTTGAAGAGTCTTTTGAAAAGTTCCCGACGGAAAAGGTAAACCATATTTTTTTGACTCTTCAATCATGCATGCAAGAGATCATGAAAGTTGGAGGATCAAACAAGTATAACTTGACACATATGAAGAAATCTGTGCTGGAAAAATATGGTGTTCTTCCCATTCAAATAAGTTGTGATGCTATGTTAGTTCAAATTGTGATGAACACACTTAGTTCATGGAAATAATGAAGATGATTTGAATATTTTATTGTTTTCCTTTTTCTATTGTTTATTGGCATATGATTTTTTACAGATTATATAAACGTATATTATTTCTATATATTTATAATGTTATGATTTCTTTTTATTTTTTAGTGTTAGTAGATGTTAACTACCAATAAGATATCTTTGGTATATGTAAATAAATTACATTGACATAAAACTAAAAGAGAACATTAGAATACATTTTTTATTGATTTCAATTTATTTTATTTTTAATATTTGTTGTTTCTTCTCACATACATTTATTATTTCTTCCATATTCATAACAATATAGCATTCTTAAAAACACATAAAAAAGGAAGAAATAATAAAGCTAGAAATACTTAGGACAATTAATCTTCAATATATCTAACATAATTTCTTCCATTTCGATGTCAGGATGAAGCTCTTCAATATCATAATGAATCTTGTTCAAATCAAATTTTGAGTGAATATCTGAAGATTTGATTGTGTTTGTTAGGTTTTTTTTTTTGCAAAATTTCTGGTTTAATTTTTTTTTCTTTGTTTTTTGCTTCTTTTTCCATCTTTGCAAAGACAAAAAAAAAACTGGGCTGATAGAAAACTACAGAAACTTGTCCTTGGGTTTTATAGTAAGTTAGAAAATATTGTTTTTGGTGATTAATAAATTTTGTTGACTAAACGTTCGATTATGTATGGAGTACACTTTTTCAAAATCTTGGAAGGCAGCATTATTAAATGGAGTATTTGATTTTTGCTTTTACCTTTTAACTTTTAATTAAATGGGAGTATTACTTTTTACCTTGAACATTGAAAACAGCTAAGAGCATGATTATCGCAAAAACTGATATAGGTTTCTTAAAGCATTTTTTATAATTAAAATGGGTTAGAAATCTATATAAAAAACTCTTAGTTTTATAGTGTCCAATGGTAGAATCTCTTAGAGGTTTTTTAAAAAAAAAAATTGAAAAAGTTTCTTGATGATTTAAGAATGTCAAGAGTCATGTGCCTAATGAAAATGACGAGAGTCAAATATAGAGATCAAGGATTCTCCATGACGCAACAAAGAACCTACGAATACAAAATATCCATCACAATGAAAACAACAAAAACATGTGCAATACGTAAGACCATCCACAACGCGGTATGGACGGGTTTCATCCGTGGGGCCCAAATGAATATTTTAGGTTTTTTTTTAATTGATTAAGCCCATTAATACGATGATACCGTCTCTTTGGGATGAGTGTGATGAACCCGTATCATCGAAGTTCATCGGCCACGTGTCATTCGCGTATTGGGTGTTGATGGAGAACCATTTTAGACTTTTTTCTCTCATATCGAACCATTTTGTTCGCGACAAAAGCATTTCTTCATCCCTTCACTTCTCCGATACATTTTCATCTCATATCGATACATTTCATCTTCCCCTCCGATCGAATCTCCGGTTAATCGTCGCTTTCCCTTCGGTCGATCAGTATGGTAAGTCGTTTATATCCTTTAGAAGTCTTTTAAAATTGGGGGAAATTTGGGGTTTTCAAAATTGGGGGAAAATTTAGGGTTTTCAAAGTTGGGGAAAAATTAGGGTTCTTCGGGAAGTTTTTTTTGGGGGCTTTTAGGTTTAGGGTTTAGGGTTGTTTGCGATTCATTGTTCTTTTATTCAATCGGTTTCCCGATTTCGCGTATTAGGGTTTTAACATTTGATGGTTTGAAATTAGGGTTTCGAAAATGTTTATAAATTATGGGGCTTTCAACTGGGATTGTACTTGGCTTCTAATTCGCTTGGGGCTTTTATAAATTTTGGTTCGCTTGTATGAGTTAATCGCTTGTGTAAGTTAATCGCTTGTGTGAGTTAATCGAATTGTGTGAGTTAATCGCTGGAGTGAGTTAATCGAATTGTTGATCGCTTGTGTGAATCGCTTGTGTGAGTTGAAATGGTTCATTGGGTGTTTTCAAGTATTGAATGTTTAGGTCATATCGAATCTTTAGGTTGAAATGGTTCATTGTGTGTTTAGGAGTATCGAATGGTTCATCGTATTGTAATCGTGTTCTGGTATCGAATGATTAGGTTTAAGTAGTTACATGAGTTTAGGTTTGTTTTTCAAGTTTTGTTTTTCTCATTTGGTTCGGATATATATGTAACTCAAATGATCAAATCGTTTATTGTGGACAGAGTTTTCCAAGTTATGAGGATGGCCCGTACTGGGCGAAAACCGTAATCAAGCAGAAAAAAGAGATTGTGAGGGTTAAAAGCCCGCTCTACAAGGCAGGCCCCGTAGATGGAAAGCTGTTTTATTGGGAGGGTGAGCTGTTCGGACCAGCAGGATCGCCCTACGAAAACGGAGTCTTCAAAATCAGCATGGACTTCCCTCCGGAATACCCGTTCAAGCCACCAAAGGTATGACGCCTTTAACGGTTCAGGGTTTTGTAGTAATCGCTTGCTGAATATTTATTTTATGCAGGTCTCCTTCAGAACCAAAATCTTTCATCCTAATGTAGGAGATCGTGGTCATGTCTTCCTAAGGATGCTGACAACGGACTACTTCTCGCCTAGTCACACCATCCATAAGATGTTCATTAATCTTCATGAGATGCTGACAAATCTCGAAATAGGTGAGGGGGACTACTTTGATGAAGCCAAAGCGAAGCTATACAAAGAAGACAAAGCGGGTTTCGATGAAAAAGCACGAGAATGTACTCTAGAGCACGCTACGGTTTAGAAAAAAATACCCTCAACCTTTGGCATAAATTTGGACATCTAGAACATTACTAGTTGTATTTTCACTTTTGTTTTCTCAACAACAGAACATCTACCTTTGGTTTTCTCAATTTTCACTCTTTTCATTTTATTTTATTTAAATGTTTAAAATAGTTAAAAAAATATTATTATTTTATTCTGTTGAACCCTAAAATGGGTATCAGGGTTGGATACCCATTTTTCAATCGAGGTTCACCCAAGGTTCTTCCACATTCTTTCTCCTCCAAAAATTATAAAAAACGCTGGGA